GTGGATAGAGGGAGTCGGGTTTGAAAGTAGACAACTCCGGGGCATAGTTTTCTATTGTTATCTTCTATGTATTGTTGTTTTGCAAATGAGGGACTATCACTTAAGATGAGTTCAGGTCATGCATCAAGATTATTGTACACAGTTATTAAGTGATAGAGGTAAGATTAAAATATAGGTCTAGAGACTACAAAGCTTCATCCTTTACACCAAATTGCAGTTTTTGATTTGTGGAAAGTGATCTAAAGATCTAAAACTGAGCTTTACTAGGAAGCATGACATTTTTAAATGGAGACCTTAAAAGAATTTCTCAAAAAAAAAAAAAGAAAAGAAAAGAAAAATGCCTTGGATCAAGAGATACCAGTTAAATTCTAAATAAGTATAGACACTGAACCAGATGGACAAGGTGGGGAGGAGACACACTTTGAAATTTCTACTTCCTGTATGTTGGGTGGAGATGTATATTTGGAGTTTAGGTTCTTAGGCTACTCTACTGAGTAATATTGTTTGCTGTAATTATTGAAATGTGAAGATGTTTTGTAATATTGTGTTCCTGTTATGATGAGTTATGGTAAAAAAAAATGGATAATTTGCTGCTCAGTGGTCTCAGATATAAGAAATATAGTCTCATTAATTAAGAATGTTCTATAAATTCTGTTATTAATTTAGCTGCTACATCCCATTCACAGGGACTATATGTGGTATTTTCCACAAATTATAGCTAATTCTTACAATCACTCAGTCAGATATGATCCCCATCTCTAGAACAGCAAACTAAAGCTTAAAGAAGGGAAATGACTTGCCCAAGAACACACATCTCTTAAGTCATGGAAGAGGGATTCACACTCTGAAAGGCCATACTCTTTCCATTATACTATGCTGTCCTTATAATATGTGTGCAAAATTATCAAATTTATTCTTTTAATATTCATACATCTCATCTTCTGTAAAATGCCCAATAATATTACCTCCTCTTGAACTTGTTATGAGAGTTAAATGACATAAGTCACATAATGCACATAAAGTACTTATCACCAGTTCAACATATAGCAAGTGCTCAATAAATGTTAGTTTTTGTTATGTATGTTTTTGGCCATGTGCCAGGTACTGGACCAGGTGCTGGGGGAACAGGTAAATAGGATGCTCTGTTTTTCCTCCAAGGGCTTGTAATTAGGCACAGGAGAGGTGGGGTAGAGTAGATTTTATTAATAATTACAATATAGTGTGATAAATGCAACAGTAGATATGGATTTACAGGCAGAGTAACAGCGTGGGGCCATTCTGCCTGTGTGGTAGGGAAAACCTCACCCCCATTAATGTGGTAATCCTCTCTTGAGTATGATATTTATAAAAAAGGACTTTAAACTATTTCACTTAAAGGAATTATTTAGTTCTTTCCTAAAGGGTAGTTTAAACAAAATCTTTTCTATAATAAAGTGCAAATGCTATTCAGCAAAGACTTAAATTGTGATGTTGCACCTGGATTGGGAAATAGAGCAGAGCGTGATGTATCCGTGGCACTCACAAAGGAAGTACAAATGTCCCACACCCACAGGGAAACCTTTCTTTGGCAATTGTAGGAATCCCTAGCTTGTGTTCTGGCTCCCTACCCCAAGCCAGCCTGCTGGTATACCCCACCCACTTCTTACACAGAGCAGTGGGAAGCCTTCCATTTCAGGGGAGATTTCTCTGTGGAAACACTCTTGCAATAAGGACAAGACACACAGCTACTTATATTAACCATTCTAGTCTTTCATTTACATAAACCTACAATAGAAGATCAGAAGAATTTTGAGGAAAAGCAATTGTATAAAAGAGAAGGATCAAGATACGCAAAGCAAACAACAGAACCCAAGAGAAGAGAGATTATGTCAGAAAGGAAAGATGTTAAAAATAAAACTTGCATTAGTATCTTCAGAGAGACTCAAAGAGGCTATTGCATCTATAGAATAAGAATAGGCTGCCATAAAAATGAGCAGCTAGAGAATAAGAAGAAATTTTTAGAAATTAAAAACATAATTTTAAAAAGAGGACAAAAAGTAGAATGAAGATAGCTGGAGATTAAATTAGTGAGGTGGAAATAAAGTCAAGGGATTCTCCTAGGACATAGATCAAAAAGACAGAAATAAATTAATATATTAGAGGATAGAGCCAAAGAATACAATGTCCATCTTGTAGGGATTTCAAAAGAGAAAAAACAGAGAGAATGTTTTGAGATAATGTGTGTGTAATGGTATGTATAATTAAATAACAATAAATAGGGATTTCAGAAGGGAGTGGAAAGAAAGAATGGAGGAGAAAGAAGTAATAAAAGAAATAAGAATACATTTTCCCTGGCCGGGCGTGGTGGCTCACACCTGTAATCCTAGCACTGGGAGGCCAAGGTGGGCAGATCACTCAGGGTCAGGAGTGTGAAATCAGCCTGAGCAAGAGCGATACTCTGTCTCTACTAAAAATAGAAATAAATTAATTGGCCAAATAAAAATATACAGAAAAAAAATACATTTTCCAAAGTTAAAGGAAGACTTGATTCTTCAGAGTAAAAATACTCACTAAATACATAGTTGGAAAAAGCAAAAAATAAAAGGCACATGCTTAGACCTATACTAGTGAAAACTCGTAACTCCAAGTTGAAAAAGAAAATCTTAAATGTTTCCAGAGAGGAAACAAGAAAACAGCTTATTTACAAAGGGATGAGAATAATTTTATTATCAAACTTTTGAAATGTTGGCTACTCAGAGATGATGGAATAATGGCCTAAAATTTTTGAAATGTTTTGAACCTAGCATTCTGTAAAAGTCCAAAACTACCACTCAAGTTTGAAACAAAATAAAGACATTTTCAGACCCATATGCATTTAGAAAATTTATATCTATGCACCTCTCCTGAAAAAAAACCTTTAAGATTCATTTCAGTAAAATAAAAAAGCAATCCAAGAAAGAGTATAATGCAGGCTCTGAGAAGCAATGGTAAGAAAATAAGCCACTAAACACTACAGTTTAGTGTAATTGTTGAAATCTGTGTCTATGAAACTTAAGACAATCACTAAGAAAGATTTCCTTAAAAATTGAAAGTATAACAAAAAAAACCTGGTAATCATCTGGAACTAATAAAAAAGATGCAGATTATTTTAATCAAACATTGCAGGGTTCGGGGGAGAAGGGAGTCTTTGGGAACAGTAAATTATAGATACTGATTAATTTTCAACATGAGTAGAAAACTTGTTTAATTATATGTGTATATTTTAAATACAAGGGTGTCCAGTAGGAGAATAAATATAGTATATGCAACTGTCCAATAATTAAAGGGAAAACATGGGCAAAGAAAATTTCATCAGTTTACATAAAGACAAGAAAGCAGAAAGAGATCAAAAAGCATAAAAACACAAGAAATTTGACAATAAAAAGACCATATTAGATATAGTATGTCAGTTATTGCAATGAATGAGACTGAGTGAAAATCTCATTAAATAATTAAGATTAAATTAAATAATAGAATTAAATAATTAAATATTAACATTAAATAATAGAGATTATCTAAATGGGTTAAAAACAATCATACAAGCTAAACATCCAAGTGTATTCTATTTGTAATAGGCATACCAAATAAAGGCAAATGAAAAATAATTTTAAAATAAAGGTCCATGTAAAAATTATTACATGGAAAGTGTAATAGAAAGAAAGCTAAATATTAACTTAATATAAAACAAAATGGAATGTAAGGCAAAAGGGATCAAATGGTACAGAGATTAATTTTTATACTGATTAACAACATCCACCAAAAAGTATAATGGGTATGAGTCTTTGTATATCAAAATAAAAGCAAAGTTAAAAAAAAAAAAAAACTGTTGGAATTACAAGAAGAAATAGATTAAAACAGAGTCAGAAAAGATACTTCTCTTAGAAATCTTGTTTGTGATAACTTACTTCACTACTACTTCACTCTGAAACTAATTACTTCACTCTGAAACCATGTAAGTTCTTTTGCCAATTCTGTTTAATTCTCACTTATCTTTATATTAAAATTTTTTCTGCAGCTCTTTTCCTGAACTCTCCTTAAATGCCTTATCAAAATGGACATTTTAGGGCCTTCTCTTGGGCACTTTCTGAGGTGCCATAGTCAAAAGGACTCTATTAGTTTTGTGGTTTCAGAGTGAAGAAAGTAAGGTTGTCTTGCTAAAGTATTACTGGGAGAATTATTTGGATATCATTTCTCTGAAGGTGATACTCCTTTTTCTGTCAGTACACCATCTAGTCCTTGATTACAACTCTGGCAGTGTTGATTTCATAGACATTCATGGTTGGATATAACTTTGATGGCCATCTCGTAATCATCTCAGACCAAGACATGAGCTCAGCACTCTAGGTTCTAGTTCCAGCTGCCACTAGCTGTCTACTTTTAAGCAAGTCACTTAACTTCTCTGCATCTCGGAGAAGTTGCCTTTAAGGAAATGGGTCTAGAATTAACAGTCATTAAAGTTCTTTCCTTCTTTAAAGGTATATTTTTCTATTGCATAATTATTATCCATATTTTTATCTTTTTTCTAAAATCCAATAGTGACAAACATTTTTTGTGGCATATTTGATGGAATATAAAAACTCACTTGCCATCCTTTTACATTTGCCAGACTTTGGAAGAAAAGAATAACAAAATGTTTGCGGCCTCCAGGCCACATGTGGCCCTCTGGATTCCCATGTGTGTCCCCTCCACAGAATCTAAACTTCACAGAGCAAATTAAAAGGATTTGTTCTATAAAATTTGGATTCGGTCAAAAGGCTGCACTCAAGGATCCAGAAGGCCACATGTGGCCCTAAGGCTACGGTTTCCCACCCCTGGAAGCTGACTCAGAGGACAGATATTACCCTTAAGTCTCTCAGGTTTATTTGGTGTCCTCACTGTCTTTAGCTATAGCAATTCTAAGTCCATGCTTGATGCTGAGCAAATGTCTCTTGAGTAAGTGTCTTGGTCTCCTTCCTTATAAATGTGACTTCTCCCTTATTTAGCTGCGTTACAGGCACTGAAGAGAAAGAAGAGGTTTGAGAAGCAACTCACTCAGATCGATGGCACACTTTCCACCATTGAATTCCAGAGAGAAGCCCTGGAAAACTCACATACGAACACGGAGGTGTTAAGGAACATGGGCTTCGCTGCAAAAGCGATGAAAACAGTTCATGAAAACATGTGAGTGACTTTGGTCTCCCTGTGAGTCATAAATTCCCTCAGTGTTGGAAACAGCCTTTGGAACTATATTGTAATTATGGCAGGAATGAGCTTACTCTTTGAGGCTCTTTGATATGGAATGAAATAGTCTCTCAGAGAAAAATTAGAGTTTCTAGTGGCAAAAATTTAAAAAAGACCATAAAAAGGAAGGATGTGCAGTTAAGGCTTCCCAGCTCCTTCATGGTGGTCAAAATTCTACCTGTAAATAATTTAATTCTGTAATTTTAAAAAGACTACAATGTTAACATCGGTGAGGGTGTTAGAACCATGGAATGGTGGTTGTCAAATTTTGGAGGGGATCGGAATCACCTAGAGAGTTAATAAAGAGAATGCAGATGCCCAGGCTCCTTGAACCTAGATAGGTTTTGTGCTTTTTTTTTTTTTGTAACTGAGTTCTCCATGTTTCTGATACTAACCAATGTTTGAGAACCACTGACTTAGAATAATAGTTATGAGCATAAGTTTGGGGGGGTGTCAAATTTTCTGGGTTCTACTCCCAGTGCTACTGCTGATTCTTCCTTGAGCAAATTACTTTGCCTCTCCCTGATTCAGTTTCTTTATATGTAAATAAAGAAGTAATTAAAGAATGTAAATATTTACATATTTATTTACACCAAATACGTAAAAAGAAGATACCTCTTTTTCTCACAGTAGTTACTGTGAGATTCAATGAGTTACTAGATACAATGCACTTGGCATAGTTCCTGGTACATGGTAAACACTTAGTAATTAATATTTGCAGAAGTAGCAGGGCTGGTGGCGAATTTGCTTTACATTCACCCTGGGAAATAAATGCCTGGGACTTGATCCTTTCTTGCTACTGGACATAATAGTGGATCCTGGGCCAAGGATGTACAAGAGCAATGAGTGCCTGAGGGGTGTAGGTATATTTCCATAGGAAAGCGTGGGAAAATAGGGAAAAGGTGGGGCTGGGAGCAGTGAAGACACCCTGGCTAACATCTTGTCTGGATAATTCATTAACAATCAGCCACCATTTTGAAACAGCTTCAGAGAGATCACTGGATTCATTGTCAGAGTCAAAATCTTCTATTGTTGCTGTAAACCAGGTGCCAAATGTATTACCGAATCAGCCTTTCTCTCCAAGTAGTTTAGCAGCCTCATACCATTGTGTTCCTTTTGAGAAAAATTCACTCCCAGGCCCAAACTTTAGCCCTACATTTCTCATATTCCTTTTTATAAATGTATTCATTGTATATTTGTTATAAATAGAGTAGTAAAGATTAGAGAGAAAGGTTGTTAGGAGGGCGGTAAAAGTATTCTTTTTGATTACTACATGAAACTATTAATATGCCCAAATGCTCAGTTTTTACAGTATATAGAGTCAGAGAAACCCAGAAAAGATTAATTCCACTGGAAATCAAACTTTTGGTGTCCGGGTTATGTAATAATGAGGGACGTCATCACTTTACTTGTATCCAATCAGTTTGGCCTAGTTTCAGAGTTGGAGGAATGGTTCAGAGACAGGGTACTACTATAGAGAGAGTTCAGACTCTGGCATCTAGACACTGACAGCTGAGGCAGGTGCTTAGGGGCCAGTGGAGCTCAGGTGCTAGACACTATCTGTGAAGCAGCTGTCCATCCTGAGCCTGTGGCTGCCTGGACTCCATTGCTGCAGTTGCTGATTCTTCATAGGGTTTCATGGACTTAGTCCTGCTCTCTTTAGTAACCTTCCAGGGTAGCGCCACTATGTGAAAGCATTTAGGGAGTCAGGATTGCTGAGCTACTAGGTAATATGGAAGATAGATCTTTAGTCCCAGAGTTTCACTTCTCCAAAGGGACGCTGCCAAATAGTGGCTACTGAGAACTGCCATAGCTCATCTAGTCTTGTGGTCCATGGCACCGTTTCCTGCAGCATATATTTAAATTTTATATGTGTCATACCAGATAAAACTTCAAAGAGGGTCTGCAAATATTGATAATTGTGAAATAATTTGATTCCTAGTGAGTTCCAAATGTAATAGCTATTTATTTTTAAAATATATGTACACATAGAGGATTAAGGTTTTTTTGAAATGCAAATTATTTTCAAAGTTGATAAATATCATCAGGAATTTTTATTATCCTACTAAAGTAGCTAAGAGTTTGTATTAAATTGACTCATTTTTTTCATATGGGATTATATCTCAATTCACAATTATAAGTCAAAATTCTAAAATAGTTCAATAAAATATTGTTTCCCAGGGATTTGAACAAAATAGATGATTTGATGCAAGATATCACAGAGCAACAAGATATTGCCCAAGAAATCTCAGAAGCATTTTCTCAACGGATGGGTCTTGGTGATGACTTTGATGAGGTAGGTGACAGAATATGAAAAATGTAGGATTGTAGCTGCTGTAAAGGGTAGCTTCCTTTCATATAGTAGGCAGTTTCCTTTACTACAAAAGAATAAGTGATATTTGTTAGCTATTCCTCTTAAGAGAAAAATGAAGTGCTACTAGCTCTACTTTAAAGGCAAAAGTAATATATTTTGGCAAATAGCCTCCTAATTAAGTTTTTAGCTATTAAGGAAAACACAGCATGTGATTATGTTAAGTTAGTGACTTTTAATGGTTGAAGCCAAATAGCCCCACTGTGAGGAATCAAGTGCTGACACATCTGGGCAAAACAAAACAGGCTGTGTCACTCTGCAAGGAACAGACCTATCATTCTCTATAGCTGTTAAATTGGAGGTTAGGCTGTTTATTACTCAGGCTATGAAACAAAATAAATATGGAGTGGCATTATTAACACACACATTCCGTTTAGATTAATCAGTCCAATAAAACAGACAGACTATAATTATAATGGTGGTGTCTGCACTGTGAATTTCAATTGTTCTATCAAAGCACATATGAGTAGCACTAGTACACATCTAGAAACATTTCCAAATCTTAGATTGGCATGGTGAAGAATCCAACTTCCTGCATCTGTGTGATATTAAAAATAGCAAATCTAACAGGTAAGGTGTGGTTTCATGAAATCCTAAAAGGTGAGAATGAGGAATTAACACTCTTTAAAAATGGTATATACCAGGGGTCAGCAAAATATAGCTTTCAAGATCCTTCCTATGTCCTGTTTTTGTTTAGCCTGTGAGCCAAGGATGGTTTTCACAATTTTAAAGTGTTGTAGAGAACAATAACAAGAAAGAAAACTATGTGACAGAAGAAGATACGTGGCCTGCAAAGCCTGCAAATGACTGTTTGGTCCTTTATGGGAAAAGTTCACCAACCCCTGGTGTAAACTAACAAGCATCTACGGCATGCATTGTAATATGGTGGAAAGGGCTCTGGGCTTATGCAGACATGTGGGTTCTACCATTTATTAAAACTTTGTGTAAGTCCCTTTACTTTTCGGACTCTTAGTTTTCTAGCCTGTAAAATGAAGATTATTATGTCACTGGATAATCTCTAAAATATCTTAAATTCTAAGATTCTTTTCTCTTTTGAGACAGAGTCTCACTCTGTTGCCCTGGGTAGAGTACAGTAGCATCATTGTAGCTCACTGCAACCTCAAACTCCTGGACTCAAGTGATCCTCCTACCTAAGCCTCCCAAGTAGCTGGGACTGCAGGTGCATGCCATGATGTCCAGCTAAATTTTCTATTTTTAGTAGAGACGGGGGTCTCACTCTTGCTCAGGCTGGCCTTGAACTCCTGAGCTCAAGCAATCCTCTGGCCTCGGCCTCCCAGAGTGCTGGAATTACAGGCATGAGCCACCACACCTGTCTTAAAATTCTTACCTTAATCATCAAATAAGTATTTGGTACCTTAAGACTAAAAATGGTGATGGAGATGATTACTCTGTTGTCATCATATTTGCCAAAGAAAGCATCACTATCTTTCTGGTGCTATTGATGACTATATCAAGCACTATTGGCAATTCTGGGCACGCATTCAGCATAGGATAGCTTGTTCCGCTATTATTATATTTGCTATATTTGTTTCTAATTGTTTTGTGAGCAGAAACAGGACATTGGAGTATTCATTCTGATGCCATTTTATTCCTATAGCCTATAGAGAAAGAAGCATAAAGCACAAAACTTCACTGTCTATGCTATTTCATTTGGCTCAATGCTGTATACCTTCATATTTTATTTCCTTTTCATGAGGTAGATTTAATAAAGGTCAATCTTTTAGCTTGCTGCAAATCTGATACTCATTGTCTTGATCAAATGTTGTGATTGTCTTAAATATCTCCTCTCTTGTCCCATAGTGTTATTACTCTCACTTTAATATAGGATGATTATTTGTTTATGTGCCTTTCTCCTACATTTAAGCATAAATGCTCCCTTGGATGTAGGGATTATTGATCCAACTTTGCATCCTCACTACTGAGTTTAAAACCTGTCCAGGATTGAGCCCTCACTAAATTTTTGGAATGATAGTAATAAGTAATAGTGCATGTATAAATGAAAAATCTACTTGGTTGAATATAAGGGTGTCCCAGGTTATTTCTAATAGTGACAACCTCAGAATTCCATTGATGCCAAATTTCGTTGTGATTCCCAACCTTTCCCCAAGAGGGGTTGGACTTCACCTGAGAACTTATGGAACCAGTGAGATCTGAACTCTCTCAGGTCATCTCAGACCTGGCATAAGGTGACTTAACACCCTTAAGGTCTTGAACAAGTCTTGCCTCTTTAAGGTTTTGGGGACAGAAAGTAGTCTAATATTAGACCAGACTCTCTGGGATTATTGCTAAAAAAAAAAAAAAAAGAAGAAGTATGGCATATCTATCTTGAATTGAAATTTTCTTAACCCAAAGGTACAGAATGATTTATATTGACTTTGGTGATTTGATAAAAGAATTTTGATAGTATCTTGATTCTTTTTACTTTCTGTGCATTATGGTTTTGTTATACATGTTGTTTTATTTTCAATAACATTAGCCCAAAGAAAAATATTTATTTTCTCCAGTTAAAGTTCCATAGATTCTAAATAGAAGAAAAGAAAAGAACATATTGGAATAATGACAGGCAAGGTGAAAATTTCCCAGAAACTGTGAAGAGGTTATATATTCAGCTAGCACAAATTACTTGAATGGATGTTTACTGAAGTATTATAAGATTAACTACAACAAATTTGCACAACCCAAAATATTCATTTTTTTAATCATTGCTCAGTGTTGCAAAAAAGACTTAGTTTTAAAGTAAATATTCCATTTCACTGGGTTCTCACATATCAATTGGGTAGCAGATGTTCTTGTTATTGTGTTTGAGGAAACCCACGTCTTGAAACGTTAACTCCATAATTCTTCTTTTCTCCTATGTTCAGGATGAGTTGATGGCAGAACTTGAAGAATTGGAGCAGGAGGAATTAAATAAGAAGATGACAAATACGCGGCTCCCAAATGTGCCTCCTTCTTCTCTCCCAGCACAGCCAGACAGAAAGCCGAGCATGCCTTCCACTGCACGTCGATCCCGTGCAGGTCTGTCACCCAGCTCAACTACCTGTGGTTGGATAATTGCCTAAAGCAATAGCCAGACACCCATTCCTTTTAGCACACATTTTTTTTTTATTTCATAAACACATTTTTATTTGTAACTCACATTTTTTATTTCATAAACACATTTTTATTTGTGCTGGAAGTGTGAATGTCACCGATTACTAATTTGCATCCATTTTATATTCCAGCATCATCCAGGAGGGCAGAAGAAGACGATGATGATTTCAAACAATTGGCAGCTTGGGCTACTTAAACTAAAACGGAATTTTTTTGACACCTTAAATTAATGGGCTATATAGAAGACATGCCAAATGGTTTTTTTTTTTTGCCAAGTTCAGAAGTTAACGAAGACTGTGTTTTATATTTATACTGGACGAATAATTGTCTTTTAAGCCTCATAAATAAAAGTTTAAAAAAGGAGATGTGGATAGACATAGAATCAGTGATGGAAAAGGGCTTTCTAGCAGTGTCTTAGAGGATCCTTCCATACTGATGGGATGGGGGCATGTCTGTCTATGTTGTTTACTACTGTATTTCCAGTCTTGATGCATAGCTGGTGATCTCTGTATATATGTTGAAAGAAAACTGAATTCTACTGGCATATAATGCATATAACAGTTTAAAAGCCATTTAAGAGTGATACGTTTAGGATAGCTGGGGAAAATACTGTTCTTTCCGATGTGAATACATGTTTGCTGTGTGTGTCCATGTAGCTCATGGTAAATGTAAATACACTGTGTTTCTTTTAGGAGAGACTTCTTATAGAAGCGTCTTGTGTAAGTCTATACATAAGTAGTTTCACTTGAGTTTTGCAGTTTAAAATCTTAAAGGAGCTTTAATTGACATTTATTATACCAATTAAGCTTGGAATGGGGCAATGGATGCATTTCCCAAAATGTCTGAAAGCACTAACAGCTTACACCGCGGAATCAGGATCTCCTGAGTGTAATTTAGCCACTTAGGGAGCTGCGTTAGCAGTCCCAGGCCATTATGATGCTGTTACAGCTTCAGCGAACTAAATGTGAGAGTGTTCTTTCTTTTCTGTTTTGTGCTCTCTTGTACATTTATTTACACTTTACAGCATATTCCTTGTAAATACATAAAAATATTGGCAATTAAAAAAAAGTATATCTTGAATACAATCTTGGCCATAATTATTTTTAAATGAAAATAAATTACAAAATCACATGTTGCCCACAAAATATCACAGACCAAAAAATGGCAAATATCATATATAAAACAACCTAGTATTCTCTACATTTGCTCACCAACACAATGGAATGGAAAGGGCACTAGACCTGAACGTAGGAATCCTGGGTTTCAGTCCCTGCTCTGCCAGTGGCACATGCCATCAACTCTCTGAACCTTTGTTTCTGCACTGGGAAATCTAAGGGTTAAATGTGATGGTCTCTAAGGATTCCATCCCGCCACAAGCCTTTTGCATATTCTGTTTTTTGGGCAGTCTTCCTACCCTATGCAACACAAAGACCAAATCTTACTTATTCCTTAAATTTTACTTTCAATGTCCCTTGTTTGGGGGAACTTTTCTTGGTCACCCAGACTAAATTAGGTCTCCCCATTATATGCTTTCAGAGTGCTCTGCTTTCTCTCATATCACTTATCATGGTTTATATTGCATATTTACTTGAATGATCCCTTAATTATTGCTGATCTTCCCTGTTGGGCTGTGGCAACCATGAGGGCAGGAACTGTATTTCTTTTGGTTCAATAGTTGATCCTCAGTGCTGTGCAGTTTCTCACATAGTAGGCATTCAATCAATATTTATTAAATGAATGGCAATTTTTTATATCTTTTGGGCCATGGTAGAATAACAGGACCTAGCTTTACCTTCTACCCTTAAGCAATTAGAAAACTGGACAAACTATAGAAAACAGTTTTCAGACATTGGACAACAGGTAGCACTGGGCAGTGACTCTTGAGAGAAGGGAAACCATGGCGTGAGCACTTCCAGTGTCCCGGCCCTCACAAGGAAGGGGAACACAAGCAGAGCCTGGTGGTCTTGCTGAGTTGAGAAAATCTGTGGAGAAGAGGCCTACAAAGGAAGAAAGGAAGTTGCTGCAGAGAGAAAGGAGGACAGAGAGAGAGAGAGAGAGAGAGACAGCACCACAAGCTGGAGGGCACAAACTATGGTCTGAATGTTTGTGTCCCTGCAAATTCATACATTGAAATCCTAACTCCCAAAGTGATGGTATTAGGTGGTGAGGACTTTTGGAAAGTGATTAGATCATTAAAACAGAGCCCTTATGAATGGGATTAATGCCCTTATAAAATAGGCCCAAGAGAGCTTGTTCATAACCTTCCACCATGTGAGGACACAGTGAAAACATGCCGTCTATGGACCAGAGATTGAGCCCTCACCAGACACCAAATTTGCTGACACCTTGATCTTGGACTTCCCAGCCTCTAGAATTGTGACAAATAATTTGTGTTGTTTATAAGCTACCCAGTCTATAGTGCTTTGTTTTGGCAGTCCCAACAGAGTGAGAGAGAGAGAGATTGAGAGGAAGAGATAGAGAGAAGTGGGAAGAGAGAGAGAGGGAGGAGAGGACTCTGGGGATTAGCAGAGGGGTCTTTTTAAGTCTTTGGCTGATAACTGGTCTGCATGCATGTATGAGAAGACTACTAATGCCAGGGAGAACTGCTGAAAAGACATAGGCAGATCAATCCCCAGAGATCACACAGGGCAAGGAATAGTTTGTGTTCCCACTAGCCAGAGTGGAAAGATCTCCTAATATAGGGATCATCAGGTTGAGTCCTCACAAAGGTATTGCCTTAGTAGTCAGTTCAAATTACACCTACCCTATTCTGAGTCACCCTAAAAGCAAACCTTAAAAGGACCAAATGATTCCAAATGACCAAACTACATCCCCAAACAAAGCCCACAGATACTTAAAGGAATATAATAAGTAACAAGTAATGATAACTAAACAGCTAAAACAAAACCCTGGCACCCAACAGCATAAAATTCACAAGCCCCAGCATTCAGCCAAACATTTTTAGGCATGTGAAGAAGCAGGAAAATATAACCCATAACCAGGAGAAAAACTAAACAGTAGGAACATATTCAGAAATGACGTTGATGATAGAAAGTAAGAATACTAAAACAGCTATTATAAATATACTCCATATGTTCATTAAAATAACTATAATAAATATACTTTATATGTTTAAGAAAGGGAAGTAGAGCATGATCATGATGTAGAGAAAAATGAAAGATATATAAAAAAAGACCCAAATTGAAATTCTAGAGATAGAACATAAATTATCTGACATGAAAAATATAGAATACAATGGATGGTATTAACAGACACCACAGAAGAAAACATGAGCGAACTTGAAGACATATTAATGGAAATTATCCTGAATAAAACACACAAAGGAAAAAAAAAGACTGGAAAAAAAAGAGAGAGAGAAAACAGAACAAGAGTGAGCCAGGAGACCATATTAAGCAGCCTAATATGTAAGTAATTGGAGTTCTGGATGATGGTGGTGGTGGTGGTGGGCTGGCTGGGTGGGTAAGGGTGATTTAGGGGAGGGAAGGAGACAGGAGAAAAACTTCTGAAGATAGAATGGCTAAAAAATTCCCCAATTTGATGAAAACTACAAACCCACAGTTCAATGAAACTCAATATACCGCAAGCAGAAACCCTTGCACCTTTCAATAACAAAAGTTATTGTGGAATGTTAAAGTGGCAAAACCACATGATTGAGGTCTGAGAGATGTCTGAACATGCTAGCCAGTTCAGCTAGACCTCTGAGGTCTAAAGAGTATTTATTAGCCACATGAACTGAGCCCTTCAAATGCAGCTAGTACAATTGAGGAAATAAATTTCTAATTTCATTTAATTTTAGTTAATTTTAAATTTAAAAATTGGCACTCAATTCACTTATTAGAAAACTTTAAGTGTGTTTGAAACAACTTGTGTATGTGAATCTACTTTTTCAACTTAAAATTTATGAAATCTATATACAGACCAAGTATTTTGAATGGAAAATTTGCATCTTATTTGAAATGCTAAGTGTAAAATACACATTGGATTTCAAAGACTTAACATATAAAAAATATAATAATCGCAATAGTTTATATCGATTGTATTGTGAAATACTATTTTAGATATACTGGGTTAAATAAAATATATTATTAAAATGTATTTCACCTTTTTATTTTTTAAAAATGTGGCTACTGGGAAATATAAAATTACATATGTAGCTCATGTTATATTTCTTTTTCCTTTTTTTTTTTTTTTTTGAGACAGGGACTTGCTCTGTCACCCAGGCTAGAGTGCAGTGGCATCATCATAGCTCACGGCACCCTCAAACTCCTAGGTTCAAGTGATTTTCCTGCCTCAGCCTTCTCATTAGCTGTGACGACAGGTATGTGCCAGGACATCTGGCTAATTCTAAAAATGTTTTTGTAGAGATGGGGTCTTGCTATGTTGCTCAGGCTGGTCTTGAACTCCTGGCCTCAAGCAATCCTCCTACCTTTGCACCCCAAAGTGCTGGAATTATAGACATGTACCATTGTGCCTGGCCTACATTATATTTTGTAAATAAATATATATACAAAAATATATGGTCCTGGGCAAGACCAATTCTTCACTATCAATGAGTGTACAGATAATGTACGATTTGAAATACTAAAATGCTAAAGTACTAAAAATAAATGAAATTTTTACAAAAGGTGACATTTTACCTTGAAAAGAAAAGAAATACTTTGAAATAAATCATAATGCTGCCCTTCTGCCTTTCACAACAAAGAAGGAATGAAACAAATGAGAGAAAAACCGGAAAAATAGATCATCCTTGGATTGGAAGGTACTAAAAAGCATAAAGGTATTAATCCAATACTACAGTGTTTTCAGTAAAGCATCCTTAAAATGGGAAAACTCTTGCTTGGAAGTTATAAAGTCTGGGATGTTGGCTAAAAATTAGTCCTACTACTTTAGAGAGGCATTTCAGTGGTAGACCTATTTGTGTCGTGCTGGATAGCTGGTCTGTTGGTGTTCTGTATTTTTAAATGAAATGTATTTTAATATATCAGGATTTTTTCTTTTGGTTGTAAAAAATACATTCAAGGTAACTTAATAGAAAAACTTGGATTTATTGGAAGTGATTTAGATAGTTCCAGAATTAAAGGAAATACTTAAAATGTAAATCTGAGGAAGGTCCAAAAGCAAGGAGGATTGCTTTGGAGCTCAGGACAGCCAGACCTAAGAAAAACTCTTTCTTCTGAGTAGTCAAATATATGGAAAAGCAAGCTACTACTGTTTTCAGCAAGCTGTCTGCTCAAGAGTCAAATCTCAGAGCCAGAACATTTGATTGGCCAAGAGGGGCCCAGATAACTACTTCTGGAGTCAGTCATCTGGACTCTCCTAAACTGAGAAGCAGGAAGGGGTTTGCTAAAGTATAATCAAGGTGATGCTACTTACAGAAAGGGGAACGGATGTTGGCCACCTGAAACCTAAAAACAACACCTAAAACAATAGATGTTCACTCAGTAACTAAGAATAATTAAATCTGAACTGTAGCATTCTTCTTACTGTTGGCAAACGTAGAGTCTGAGCATAGACTTACTTAGTACAAATTGGAATAGCAAATAGTTTATATATCACAATGGTGCGTGTCTTACTAAAACAAATTGGGATAATGTATTAAAGTTAGCAAACTAGCAAGAAGAAAGAAAATAAAAAAAGGAAAAATCTAAAGAAGCTAGGACTAATAAGGATATCTTGGTACCATTACATTACAGCCCTAGGGAATGAATTGATGAAATGTTAGTCAATTTCTATTTCATCATCTCACCACTTCTTTTTTCCCATCTCCTTAATTTAAGACAGACATTAATGTTTCATTGGAGAAAGTGTTTCTTAAAATGCCTTAAATCCTTTTCTAACTTCAAATTCACTTTAAATTCATTTTGTTTCTGGGCTTATCAGGAGTTTTATTGTACTACTTTCAAGGCACTTGAGCTATTTTTCAGAAGAAGGAGACTTTGTAAACATTAGGAGAGTACAGACAGGGAAAAGCAATAGAGTTATTATTTAGAAGAGACCAGTATAAACACTGAACAAGTAAGCAGTGCTTCTGATTATGAATGATTCTCCTGGACATTTCTGG